ACGGGTGCACGGAGTGCAGCAACACCTGGGCGGGAGCCCAAGGTCTATGCTGGTAGATTGGGGCCAGCATTGGTGGAGTGGCAGAAGCACAGGGCACGGGCTGGAAGGGGCTTTATAGAGCAAGGCTGGGCTGCACCAGCAGGGAGGGGGGAGCCAGCCCAGCTCCACAGAGCCCTGGCCAGCAGGGAGACGGGAACAGCCCCAGGGGCCCAGGCCAGAAGCCCCTGGTAGGCAGAGGCTTCCGGCTGGAGCTGGGGGTGGGGCAGGGCCAGGCCCACCTTGCTGCTCAGGCTGCTTAATCCTGGTGTCAGCTCCACGTGGGTCCCACTGCCCCTGGCTCCTGTCATCTTTGACAGGCAGCCAGGGGCAGATAAATATTACTTTTCTACATTTTTTAGGGGCCCCGCAGGCTGGAAAGAATGGGCTGGCGGGCTGGATGTGACCCATGGGCCATATTTTGCCTGCCCCTGCTTTAGATGCTTGCAAAGCTGTGCAGACAACAAAAGTTTCTGTTTGGTGATCAAACTGTACACTTAATTTGGATTCACTCAAAACAGAAACAAAATGTTTTGTTTTATTTCTTGGCGATGTGATCCTTTCTTTACCTTGTTTTGAAGTAAAAAGTCAAAATGTTTTATTTTGAAAACTGTCAAAATGACAGTTCTACAAATATTTTTCCTTTTTTTTTTTTTTTACTTGCCAAATTCAACCTAAGTTTATAAATACTTTCAGTCCCTTAATAATGTGATTTTGGCCAACTTACCATTCACTGAAAATCTGACCAGGCCCTAGGTCTGTAGTCAGTACGGATTTTCACATCTACTATCCTTTTAATGCAAATTTAGAAATCAGGAAGGCAAGAGGACCAACTATTAGATGATGGAAGAACTTACCTCCAACAACACCTACACCGACACTACTTCTTCTTGTGTTCATCGGAGCTACATGAAACCACTCATTAGTCTTTATGTTATAAACTTCTACAGATGATAAACCTATTATTAAAAAACAGGACTTGTTTATCTTACGCAAGTGTAAGCAACATACTAATTATATGTATCTTCAGTAATTTACCTCTTTAAGGCTCACAGTCATTTTTTTTCTTAAGACCAATTGGTGGCTAGGCAAATGACACAGGCATCATTTGGACAGTCCACAACAACCTGCAGTGCTTCAAGGTATACAATCTTTGTAGAGAGTCTGAAAAGAATCCTCCTTTGGATTTTTTTTTTTTTTTTTTAATTACAAGCTATGCTGCTCCCCATATACTCTTTGAGTCACTAAATGTTAGGGACAAAGTTCAGTTTTGATATGGATAACTTAAGAGAACTCCAACAGCCCAAATCCCTTATACAGTTCAAACAATAGTACATATATATATATTTCCACTGAAGAAAGCAAGCAAAAATATCCAAACAGAAAGGAAGTTGCTAGACTATTCTTCTACTCATGTTTCATGGAATGGGAAGTGGGAGGATTTAAGAAATGTAAGATGAGGAAGGAATCTGGCATCAAGTGGTTGAAGCATCATCAGGTCCTTTTGGACCTGCAGAGTAGCAAATGAGAACAGTGATTATGCTCCCACTCAGAACAAGAGAAGTGCTGGGATTGCTTTATGACAATATGGATTCCACTCTCTAAAAAACGAAAAGCGTCTTCATGATGGTTTTCAACTCCATCTTAGTAGCCAAAACTGTAATAATCAGTACAGTACCATTTAAAGATAAAAATACCTGTACTCCCATCAAATCCTCCTACAGCATACAAGAGCCCATTTAATACAGCAGCTCCCAACGTGCTTCTCCTGTCTTGCATGTTAGCAACACTTGTCCACTGGTCCTTCACTGGATCATAGGAATCGACTGTGCGAACTCTTAAAGAGCCATTGAAACCACCAACTGCATAAACCAGGCCACCCATGTACACCATTCCTGGGGAAAAAAGTTAACTTGTCTTTATAATTGACTTTGTTCTGTACTGTGCCAAGCACAACAGTTTTTAACATAATATACAGCACGCATCACATTAACAGGTTTTTAGGAGTACTGAATGACACATGTTATTTAGATCTAATATTAACATTTCTGATATTGCTCAGTGTTAGGCAGCACCAAAATGTGAGTGTTGACTTTTCAGATACATTACTTTAGATGGCATTTCAAAAGCAAATTGCTTTCTTATACAGTGGTTTCTTCATATTTCCTTAAAAAGTGTTTTTTTAAAGCGTGAAGTAATGATGAACACTTCACATGGTTTAGTTCCAGATGGACTGTTTTCTGATGGGGTACCAGAACAACCGAGCTCAATTCTGAGGTGCACCAACACAGAGATCCAGTTGCTGCTGCCTCTTCTTCTTGCTGCCTGGCTCCAGCTCAGCATGGGCAACAACCTCTCCACCCCACAACATGCCGAAGTTCAATCTGGTCTGTGAGCTATAGGCTGCTGACCCCTGCTTTAGTGAACTTGTCTTTTGTATCAATATGTGGTAGTAAAAACACTATTCACAGATTGTGAACTGAAGACAAAAGTCTCCAAACTTAGGTGGCTGAAGACCTAAGCATCTAAAGCCTTATTTAAAAGAGTAAGCAAGTACTCTGCATTTTAGAAGCAGTAAGCGGCCACACTTGCCACTCCCATGGAAGCTGAAACTCAGCCCTTCTTAGGGCCTGCCTGTTAATTATGAAAGCATATTGTTTTCTAATTCCAGAACAAACATGCTGCTTTATCTTATAGCAGTGCCATTTAAGGCAGTGTTATGCATCACATACCTGCTCTACATCTTCTGGAAGGCAATTCAGCCACCTGGTGCCAGCGCTCTTCTTTAAAGTCATAGCATTCCACACTGCGGATAGCCTTTGGTGCTTGTCCTCCAACTACCATCATCAGCTAGGAGGGAAGCAATAAGATTTTCTGCTTGTTAGCATATATCAGGATATTTAAAAGGCACAGTCTCTGGTACTGAAGAAAACAAACTTCTAGATAATACATTATCTTATTTCCCCCCAATAAGCAACTAATAGCTTCGTTTAACAGAAATACAAACATTACAGAAAGATTTGTCATTTGGGATCCTTCCAGCAAAGAAAATATTTGAGGCACAATTTTTTGAGTCTTATTGTAACCTGTCACATAGAAAAGATCTAGATTTTTCATAAACTTAAAGATAGAGGGGACATATGGGGACAGAATCTGGTCTCAAAAGGAAGAATGCCCCCCTTCATGCAAAATCAATGGGAGTTGTGAATGTATATCTGAAAGCAGAATCTGGCCCCTCATTTGGCCCTACTGAGATTTGTTGGTTGTAAAACTTCAGTAAATGTCACCAGAATGACACCGACATCTTGCTCCTAATATTGTAGTAGTAGAATTAGAACAATGGTGCAGAAATAGGACTTTTGTGCTTGGGCGGTTAGAGGAGACAGTCTAGTTACTTAACACGGTATTAGCTGAAAAAAAATGTTCTTATTATTTAAAATACTTCAGGTCATAATTTAACCCAGGCTTACTTTACCTCCAAAACTAATTGCAGTTGCTTAAGTGCTAAAGGAAGTACTATAATTTATCTTGTGCAGGACTGAAAACCATATAGTTCCATCATGTATTCTCCTTGAAGAGCCAAAAGCATTGAGTTATGCATTTTATATTTCACATTAAATTCCCACCCATGAGTTTAGGACCTGAGCTGTTACCTTGCTGCATACTTTTCAAGGATGAATAATTCTACAGAAAAAAATGTGCAAAGAAATACATTAGTTAAAAATCAATTTGGTGTTACCCATTTGCCCCATACATTAAAATTTTTTTTTTTTAAATCAAAGAAATGAACATACTGGAAATTATGGCTCTAACCTTTGGAAGGCTAGCAGGTGTTCTCAGTTTAGTTCGAGTGCTTTTCATCAACGCTCGTTGCTCAGTCGGCAGTAAGTGATACTTCATAGCTTCAATGAGGTAATCTTTACACGCACTGCTGTTCTTAACCAATGTTTCCTCTTCAACCCTCTGTGCATTAATATAAGTTTGACAAGGTCTGAGCATGTTAAAAAAGTAAAACACAAATCACAATTTAAAGTGCAATAAACCCACATGAGAACAAACTTAAATCACTCTGATTATTTAGATCATACCCCAGCCAAGGACATTGGTATCATCAAGCTCGTGATATGCAAAGTCCCTGCAAATAAAACTGGAAGACTACAGACCCTTCTAATTGGTAACTGGAAGGCATGCTATTAGGCCATGACAAATGTTTTCACAGCCCCTTTCCTGACAGTTGTTCAGAGTTTTAGGATTTTCTAAATCACAATATGAGGACAAGAATTTGATCCATCTAAGGTGCATAAAACAAAGAGGCTTCCATCAATGCTCAAGGTATGCCTAACATAGCACAATGCTGTGTATGTCTCCAGTTCGTATTGTGTCCAGTTTTGGGCACCACACTTCAGGAAAGATATGGAAAAAGACCTATGGAGAGCAACAAAAATGATTAGAAGTCTAGGAAATATGAGGCAGATAGTATAGCCAAGTTCTAAAAAAAGAACTACACAAATTCATGGATGATATATCTATTAATAACTATTAAACAGAACAGTCAGAGATGCATCTTCTAGTCGTTGCCAGGGAACATAATGAATTGCTAATTATTCTAGATATACCTGGTTCAATGCTGTCCCTCTAATGTGTTCACTTCTGCTAATGTCAGAGAGAGACAACTGGGCTAGATGGACCACTAGTTTTACCTAATATGGCACTTCTTCTGTTCTTATGATTTACAAGGAAAGGCTGAAAGAGCTGGGATTTTATTTTAGTCTGGAAAGAGGAGACCAAGGTAGATTTGATAATAGTCTTTCCACAGTGACAGACTATTCTCTGCGGTTGCAGGGGACAGGGCAAAGAGCAGAAGTCTTGAAATGCAGCATGAGAAATTTAGATTAGATATCAGGAGAACTCTCTCACTACAAGGGTGGTTAATCACTGGAACAGATTATACAGAGACTGTGGAAACTCCATTCTTGGAGATTTTTGAGAAAACAACATGGATGAGATGGTGTAGACAGGGACGATCCTGCCTCAAGCAGGGGATTGGACTAGATGACTCTCTGAGGCCCCCTCTAGTCATAGTTTTTGAAGATTCTGTATTGTTTGGAGTAATGGCTGCATAGGACTCCACCTGGACTAATAAAATAAGAACAAAGGTATATTAACTCAGTGCTCTTCTGAGGCTAACATAGCCACTGGCGATGCAGCCATACTGCTTCCAATTTCCAAGATAGATTGCCTAGAGTTAGTTCAGGTATCTCAACATAGCACTGCATTGTGCTATGCAGACATATCCTAAATTCTAACATTTAAACTTTGTAAGCTATGTTTAAGCTAAAATCTAGAAGAGATGGCTAAGCAAAATAACTGTTAAGGGGTAATAACAACTTATATTACAATCACCCTGAAGTCAGATTATTATATTTACAATGTAAATTAAATAGTCATTTGAAACTATCAAGACAGCATGATAAACTACCTGACAGTCAAATTATTCCTATGAATAACTTCTTTATCATAAACTGTGACCAAATTTAATGGAGGCTATTTTCAATGATTTGTTCCTTTGCATGATTATACTAAGTAATAATTTGTGCCTTTATAATTTAGAATTGACCCTATGTGCCAAATAGCCCAGAGTCAAACATACATGAAAATTCTCGTAAGAATTAGTATTTTCTTTTTCTTACCTGAACTAAATACTCCCGGGAAAGTAAAGGCAGCCGAACATGTTCCATCAGTTGTGCCATTAATTCCTGCCTCACATCTTTGTCGTGGTTTACCCATGCTATGACTGCTTCAAATACCTTCCAGAAAACAAAAAACATGCCATGAATCCCCTTTGCTCCACAAAATCCATGTGTGCCATACCAAATTTCACTTCGAGTTCCTGAAACAAATATAGGGCCACATTAAGTTGGCTACTCAAAATCTTTCAACAGATGTATCCAATATAAAATGACCTTAGCATGTAAGCCACTCTTTTTATATATGTACTTTTCTAGTGCCTTAATGAAAGCTCCCAATAAGTTACTACATTTCCAATTATTGTCATAATTGGGAAACATTAACAATTCTGAAGTTCCACATATTAACCAATGTGTAAAGATCAAATTCAGCATTAAGAGAGAGGGACATTTCCCCATGCTGTTTGAGATCATATAGTTTAAACCTACAATATATCATTAAGAGGAACTTTCTGACTGAAGGTTGTTAAGAATTGGAACAGGCTACCTAGAGAAGCTGTAGAATCTCCATCCTTGGAAACTTTCAAAAGCAAGTTGGACAGACACTTGGCTAGGATGAATGGTTTAGTAGGGGACAATCCTACCTTGAGCAGAGGGCTGGTCTAGATGACCTGGTGAGTTCCCTTCCAGCCCTACTTTCCTGCGATTCCCTGCATGATATGCATTACAGAGGAGGGCTTGATTCTCCCATTTCATTGTAGTATATACAAATAAGGACATTAACACTTTAAATGCCTCTCTAAAGAGAAGATACTTTATAGGAGTCATGCATTTTTGCATAGGGGAACACTAGACTTCCAAGGCATTGTGGAATTGCAACCTTCCATTGCAGTATCAGTTTTAAGAGGATAGCTGTGGGATCTCTGTAAATTGTGCCACAAGTACCCCCTGCAGCAACTCCTTTAACACTTTTCATTTTGCCACTTGCTGTCATTTTGTACAATGATCAGCAGAGGCCCCAATGGCCATCTCTTTTGCAACTTCTTTAAACAAAGTAAAGAATGGGACACATGACTTCAACATTAAATCAATCTACTACTTTATCTGGACAGTTGTTCCTTTTGCATTATCCCAAAGGTATCAAATACGTACCAATTTTTCAAATCCATTATGCTGCAGCCCTGAGTTAAAACACACTGCTAACTTACATGAAATCTCTTTGTAAAGCAACTATCACATACATGCTCCATCATTCACAGCACATGCATACTGATTTGTTTTTCCTAAAGATGGGGATATTTACTTATTTTCCAGGCAAGAGGTCAAATTGTTTCTAGAATCCTGGGGGGCAACAGACACATTTTAAACTCTAACAATCAAACAACACTTCTTTCTGCAACAGTGCCTTAAGTACAATAGACACCATCTATGCTTAACTGATTGAAACTCTTCACTGAGAGAGTAACAGTGGCATTCCTATCCAAATAAGTACATTGGGTCTCTGAAGAATTAACTGTTTTTTGTCTGGTCCAACTGTGAAATAAACATTATTGCATAGAATGAATCTTACCTTCTCTTCAGAGGCAATTGTAAGCTTGTCACTGGATATTAAACTGCACACCTGTTCTACACCAAGATTGAGGAATTCTTCACTAAGTACGACATCAGAAAAATGCTGTTCTGTTTGGAAAAAGAAGTTCTCTTTAGCCTATATCACTGAATGCAGTTTCTAAACAGCATTAACACAATGATACACTAGTACGCATATTTGGTTAAATCCATGAAACAATAGATATTCTAAAATACTCTCTACTGTCTCAAGTTTTATTCATATTCTGGCTGTCAGCCACAGGACTATAAAGGCAATTCCCTGCTTTTGCTGGGCTTCATATTTCTTTGGCTTTCTGTAGAAAGTTCACTGTAAATCCCCAAGGATCCTAAATTTGGTCCTACAACAGGAAAGATATTTTCTTCATTTATAGCTATTTTAAAATAATTTTTAAATTATAAGAACCATGTTACCTTTTAAGATTATTACAATATATAAAAATTCTGTCAATTAAATAAAATAGTGTATCAAAAAGTGCTGTTGCTAAGACATTAAAGAAAACTGAAGCAACATTCAAAGCTGACAGCCTGAAAGAATTAAAGAATCATTGAATCTTGTTTTCCTTAGTTCTCTGGACAAATACTCGCATGACTATGAGATCCACCTTAATTCTTGAAGGAGAGATTATCAGAAATGGTAAGTTCATTTCACTAAATACAGGTGACACATCTATTTTTAAGTCAATTTTAAAGGCCAAACATGTTCTGGATCAACTAATTTTCATGCTTGTACAATACAGATTTTCACTGACAACAACTTTAAAATATTTTGTGCATTTAAAAGGATTCTAGTTCCTAATCATGCACAGCTTGACATACAAGTAAAAAAAAGAAGATCATTTAGTAAATAAAAGTGTTATTTACCACAGTCTGACCTAGTAATATAAAAGTTAAGAATATGTATATTAAGCCATGGTATTGCTTAAATAAACTTATGCAGAGATACAGCATATCCTCCTGGTTAGCAAAAAGTACCTGATTTAGGATAAATTAGTTACAAGTTCAACAAATTCATGTTTTAGTGGCTGCCAACTGATGAGAAATCAACCCCTGTTAAGGAAAGTAACTAAAAGGTGCTACTTCAAAATAAAAGGTTAAAATTAAGGATTTAAATCATGATTCAAGTCAGAGATTTAAACATCTATTTAAGTCAATCCTGCCTTTAAGCCCCCATGCCCTGCAGGGAGTGCAACATTTCCCCTAAAAATCAGGCCTTCTATCATTGCAGCACACCTCCTGTCCTCCAGCACTTGGCTCATGTCAGTCACAGCCATGGCCACTAGCTTTGAGCCTATTTTTAAGGCACCCATGGCTAGGTAAAGAGGTGAAATTGATCTAAGTTACACCATTTTCTGTAAGCAGCGTAGTTTAGATCAGTAGCAAAGAGAACAGACACACCTTTTGGTGGGGGGGAAGGGGAGTGTAAATCTCAGACTGGGTTTCACCATTTTTAAACTAGTCTATGCATGCCGAACATCTGTTGTGTTACAGGTACAGACCAGTTTCCGATCACTTAAAAGTATAATGTCTATACCTGACCATTCTGGGCTACAGAACTGTATATAAAACTATCACAACTTCTTGATTTTTCATTTAATCCCTTTAAGAAGAACTGATTCCGTTTCACATGAGGAAACTACACTTGGTAAATGGTGCTCATAAGTTTACCACTTTGTTTTTGAGCCATTACTGGAACTTCCCCTCCCCCCCCCCGAAAATGCAAAGCACTCTGGTTTTGGGAGACTGTAAAAGGACTCAAAAAACCTTTCCGTGGTTCCTAATGACTCTTCTCCATATGCTTGGGTATACCAAAATTTTTGTTATTTATAGATTACTACCTACTGACCCACATTTAGAGCGATTCTGACTGGGTGTTGACATCTGGAGCTTAAAAAATTTGCAACATTTTTCTTATGTACACGTAATCTTAATCCACAATCAGGACTTAAGTTCTTAGAAGGGTTTCAAGTGATCAGAGGTGGCTCCTGGTGTTACTGACATATCTTACGAAGCACATTCTTCTGGAAATCAGAGTCCTTTTATTCCTGTTCCTATGGGCTCAAATCCTATACCACTATACTTGACAGAACTGGCAAAGGACAGACATTTTTTTCTTTTTTTTGATACAGAAAGGTGACCCACTCAGACACATGCAAGAACGATTTCCAGTAAGGGTGATATGGCCAATGTGATTTATTACAGGCAAACTAGACGGGTTAGGACTTAAGGCAGTGGTGTTCTGACCATGAAGTTCCTAGAACTCTCCCATCTTCTCTTCCTTTTGGGTTGTTTTCCAATGGGTTTTATGCTGGCAAGATGGAACAGTCAGCGATGCTGAAATGGAAATATCTCCCTTCAAAGACAATGGTCCCAAGTGAGACCAATGAACTGCATGGCAACAGTACCAGTCACTTCTTCAGGATCAATGTGATGTTTTTCCTTGACTCCATCAAAGACTTGACTACTAGGTCTCTCATTCTGTCCTACTAACTGAAGTCTCGGTCATGTGAGTTGTTCTGTGTCTTCTCCCTGGAACTTTCCATCTTACAGCTTGACTTGTGCCAGCAACACAAGTCAGTGCCCAATTTACAGACAGGTGCAGGTTTTACAGAGTTGGGGCAGGCGGTATGGAAGTACTACAGGGTAGTCAGTACTAATGCCAAGATGCTCAGTAATAAGGCTGATGTTGCCAAGTTAGCTAGTACTGGGACTGTCAACACCAAAGACTTTTACACTGAGAAAGTCATGACAGCATCAGTGACAGCAACTGAGCCAGTGGGCTCTTTGCCTGTGTTCCATGACTGAGCCCAGGGCTCCCTCAAGCTCCCCTTATGCTCTGGGCAATGCAGTTTTATCTGACTTTACTCGTATTGACTTGTCCCCTCTAGTACCACCACAGTTGGCATTCCACTATGAGGCATAGCAGTTAGCATCAAGCAACTTGTGCTGTATGACGTCCATCAATTTTTTCCCCTTTTAAGGAACATATTTTGGGGAAAAGAGTAAAGATAGAAATCTTCAAATAGGTGGAGAGAACTGGTTTAGAGGTTCTGCTAAAAGTAGACTGGATTAGATGCTTGCAGTCAGGGGTGACAAGAAACAATTAAAGCAGGCTCATAGATAGCTAATGCATCTGTTAGGCCCATGCAAAACAGCATGTGGCAGCAGAGGGTCCATGTGCAGCCTAAATAGCCACAGCAATTGGAGGGAAAAAACCCAGTGTCCTGGATATTACCTGCACCTACAGCAGGACCCCCACACTTATACACTCAGCGAAAGACATATGTTTTAACTCAAACCTTCCAAGCCATTTTATGGAGTCCTCCTATTGTGCTCTAGCTGTTGAAACAAGAAACCTCCGTCACAGTTACCTCCTAAAGAAACAGAGCCATATAAACACTTACAATCTATCATAGAACATAGCCTCATATACCATATTTTCACGGATGCAAGATGACTCTGAATTTAGGACAAGCCCCCAGTAATCGGATTCTATACATGGAAAATTTTATAAATTTGTTATAATTTTCCATATATAGAACCTAATTATGAAAGGCCATCTTAAATTAATCTGTCTCCTGCTGCTACAGTGGGGAAAGCAGTTACAGGGGGGCAGGTGGTGGGGAGCTGGAGCCCAGGCCAGAGCTGCTGCTACCACTGCGACTGCTAGTGGGCTGGGCTGGAGGAACCATGCGCTCCATCCCCCAGGCTGGAGTGGGGCCAGAGCTCTGCCAGAGCCACGGAGGATAAGCAGCAGCGGCAGATGTGGGATGCAGCGGAAGGGAATTGGTGGGGGGGTAGTCAGACAGGGAGCAGAGACAGAGGAGGAACAGGTAGTGGCTGTGCCTCTAATTTTAACCTTGACTTGAAACTGCAGCAGCCGCTTGTCCTCCCCCTCTCCCCCAACTTGCACTGACTCCAAAATGAGGGGCTCCCCTTCAACATGTTAAATGGCGGGATGCAAGGGGGGGTCATCTTGGATTTGAATAAACGTAGTAGTTATTGGAAATAATTTCCTATCAATAATTCCTAAAAGACAAATACAATAAAAATTTTAATATTTTTTTTTAAAATTCCTTATATTAAGCGGCAGAAAGTAAAAGACCTTTCAGAGAAGCAGATAGATTAAAGCTAAATTAGTAATATGTAGACAGTATAATACTACATGCTTTATATATATTGCCATAGATAAAAATGTTTAAAACAAAGAATGCTAAAGGGTTCTAAGTTGAGAAGTCTGATTTTTCCAAAAACATATCATCATTCATCACTAATGTATTAAGTTACGGCCTGAGGATGAATTTGTATTTTACACACACTTATTTTATACTTGCGCATACACACTGCAACTTTCTCTAGATATACCCATCTCTATTGTTTATATAAAGATGTATTATTTATATAATAGTAGGCGGCAGCAGCACTGTAAACAATTCTACTGAATGTGTTCCTGTTTTTTGGCTGTAAGACTAGAATGATGGAAGCTCCCAGTCTCCTTTCTATATACCACTTGTTATATTATATTCCTCTCATATTCCCTTTTATTCAGCACCCAACTAATGTAAAAAACTCTCTATTTTAATCTGTCCTCACATGACACTTCTATGCTTTTTATATAAGCACTTACTTCCCTTCTCTGAAGTCCCTAGAATTCTGTAAAATGAGATGGAAGCAGATCATTTCTTTATATAAAAACTTTCCTTTTTTCTATATTATTTTCTATCCTGTTCCCTATGCATCAAACATATTCTAACCACAGCTTCATTGATCTGTCCACAGTGATGCTTAGTTCCTGTTGCCAAGTTAGTACTGTACCAATATTAATATACTGTATTTTTTTGCATACAATATTTCTTTACTGTAAATAGTTCTTTATATAAAAGTCCTGTAAATAAAGTGTTATCTCCACACCAGAAGCTCCATCAAGATACTACCAGCAGCTCACTAGTTAGTTCAGACACCAGTGCTCAGCCAATAGCTGCAGAGAGAGAGGATTAAACACAGGGCTCCACCCCTTCTGCTTGACTTGTGGGGGCCAGAGAGAAGCAGCAGCCACCATGGCAGATGCTGGC